CTACCGTAACGCTTGCACATCAGACAATATGGCCATACGCCTTAAGTTTTGGCTTGACCAGACCATCACACAATACAATCCCTATTGTTTGAGGTCATGTACTTGCCACCTGTTTTCTTACCTGTTGCTCCGGAGCACAGTGGGAAAGTCATGCTCAACGTAATTGCAAGTTAATGGAAAACGTTGCAAGCAATGTTTCTAACGTTCCTGATTCTGTGATTAGAGTTTGGAGCAGAGTCTGTTGAGACACTTGACCCAGATAATTCTTGGCGTCCTTGAGGACTTCAGCCAGTAGATAGGGCAAGTAGTAGACTTTTCACTTTCCTTTCTGGATACATTCATTGACAGCGCATGTCCAAATCTTCGCAGCTGTGACTTCTTAAACCGGAGAAACTTTCCCATCATGGCTTTCCCAGATATATGTACTCCAGACCATGTCATGACGGGCGAGCCCAACACTTTGTCTCATGAATCTCATTTCATCCTCTTGTATCCGATATCGAAATTTTTCATGTCTCTCGACTCTTAACCAGTGGTGAGTATGGCAATGAACACTGACTTGAACACAGGCAGCTCTGCTTTAGTCAACTATTTTGGATAGCTTAGAACGCCTTTACCAGTTGCAATTCACCAGTCGATCTTTCCCTCCTGCCTATCATCACAATAAACACGATCCCTGGGTACTTGAATTCTGCACCTTCTTCACTGCTTCTCCTTTTATCTAAAGAGAGCAACGGGCCAGAGAGCGAGAAGGTACTAGGCTTTTAGTTTTAGATACGTTCATTCACACCCATGCCGGCAACATCGAACTCAGCTGCGAACCTTTCCATATGGAAGTGTAGATCAGTTTCACGATATGCCTACGAAACAATGTCTTCCGCGAATAGCAACCTTCTCGTCTCGACACGATACACTCATCGCCTTGGCTGCCACTGATTGTTCCATCTACGTACAACACAAAAAGGAAATGGGACAGACGCACATTGGTGGAGACTCGTGCAGATGTTGAAATGTCCCAATTTAATGGCGTTTGCTCTTACGCAGGACCTACTATCGGCATATAGTGACTGGATGGCTTGTTATGACTGGCCATCGATCCCATGTTTCTGCAGATCCGCCTATAGATTGTTGACCGGATGAGCATTCGCCGAATTCTCAACAATCCAACCTACGACGAAGATACTGTCAGACGTGCTTCGGCTTAACCTGAAGCCACACTGTACCATAGAGTCAGTTATTCCGCGGCACCTCCTTTGTAACATTTTTGCATAGACTTTACCTGAGAGGCTCAATATGATAATGCCACGGCAATTGCTGCACTGTAATACCCATGCGCAGGAACTGCTGGTGAATCTTTGGTTGTTACACGTAAACGCCGTACACGGAGTTTGAAAAAACCGCCACATGTGCAATTTATTATAATGTAAATGTGTGTATCAGCTGAGCGTTGGAGGAACTGCTGGGACGATCGGCGTTCGGTGCATTCTGCCTGCTTGCTTGCTACGATGGTGGTTGAATGGATACTATTTCAATTCCTTGTTGGAAATAGTCTGAGTTCGTATGAGGGCACCACTAACCAACACTGAGTCGTCTGAAGTTACCCTCTGCATTGCAAATGTGTTTGCGCGACTTAAACTTAAGCATGTCTCGTAGGCGCAGACTCATAAAAGATTGAAAATGGTCATGACGAATCACCTTATTACGTAGACGAAAATTTGGCTGTCATATTTTAAGCAGTATAATTCTGTTCAGTTTAATCCAACTGTCTCCATTTAAGTTTTACCCCATGGTTTGGCCCTTGTTCCAATGAACATCGTACTTGTGTGGCTGTTTCTTGTTGTTTTAGAATTCTTGCTAAAGGCATGTTGTATTGATTTTTTGCAAACTTTTATTTAACATTATTTTTAGCTTAAAGAACGCAACTTAATTATCGTTGAACAGGAGAATAAAATAAATGCTCTGAGGCATGACGAAAGCGAACTCAAATCCAAGTGCAAGTGTTACGAAAAGTCGGAAGCGGAATTAAAACAACAGGTACGCTGCAAATTTTTATTTCATATTTTTCGCAAGGTTTAGATAGATGCTATGTGTTACCCTTCTCATTGGTCGAAACAACAATTGCAACAAATAACTTTTTTACTAAAAGCCCAGTTGTTTAGTTGCACACTTAGTTTTCGTAGGGTGATTCACAGGGATGGGAGAATCGAACTAAGTTCGTCGGTATTTTACTCAATCATATTTATTTATTTTTATTCGGCTTATTAATAAGCAGGTCGTTTCGCACAGAGCAAAGCATCGCATGGATTACCTATATAACATAAAACTGACTTGCAACGTAGAATACGGCTCAGGCAGTAGAATGTCAGGGATTGACCGAGTGCTGATGAATTATTTGTCTAACTCTCCGGTTGCAGATGTTTTTAAAACGATTCGTTAAGCGACCTCCAAATCTGTAGTGTGTCTGCTGGTATGTCATTTTCCTAGTTCCATAAATTTTTTCTTACTGATGCTGAACTTTGCAGATTTTTGACGTTACTCTCACGCAATCTTCTTTCGAAGTTGCAGGGAAGCAAAAAGAAACAGAAGACTACATATATATTTGCAAGAATGTGTCATTTTTTGACAGTAATAATTTGACATCGCTGCCTACTGTAAGCATGATCGATATTTCGAGCCAGTTCATTTAAACTCATTCTGAATGCTAAAAATAGACAAATAGAATAGTCAAAATGCGCACAACATACAACGCAGCAGAGTTAAATAAATTCATTTATTAAGCACATAAATAATACTTTCACAAAACCGGATTGACTGGATGCAGTAATGCAATATTTTTAGACAAAGGATAACCCTGAAGTTCTAGGGTGGCAGATGGTAGTTTTCCAATTCGACAGGTAATCATAAGATTTAAAATTCTGATACCTGATTTTTTTAGCGTAAGCGCACGGCTCTCTTATTTTATTATATGCCTCTGAGGTGACTTCAAGCCAGGTGTGGTGCGTGCGCTAACGCTGAGAAGATCTGGTATCAGTAATTGTAATGTTACTGTAGTTTTAATTATACACTGCCTGTTGTTAATGAAGTGCAAGAAAATATTTTAAACATGGTGCTGATAACACAAGAGATTCTTTGAATGATCGAAAGCAAATTTCTAAGGTTCTTGTTATAAATGAGGTCATGGTTGACCGTTGAGAAGTTTAACCCTCCATTTGCCTCCTGTCTGCGTTCCATATCCAGTCTCTACTGCATCCTCATCGCATAACACTTGTTATCCCATCATTTGGAGAAGGAACAGCTTTTTGGACAGCCGTATTTCGAAGTTTATCGAGCTTTTTTACTCCTGCAGTCATTCGAAACGGGAGTGGAACCGGTTCGGCGCAGCTGTTTAAGTGCTGATCGATAGCCTTTGTCTACACGCTGTCCCTGCCACGAGTTTGAATTTATATGTTTGGACTTGGTCATGAACCGTTTCATGGTTATGCACAAACTCACGGACATGTCACATGTCATGACAACATGTTATGTGACAGCATGTCTAATATAATAATCATTCACAACAGATATTCTTTCGTTTGCATCACGATATTTCTGCAATTTTACAAGTGATTGATGACCGGCAACATGTTATTTGTGATGTATTTCGCAGCCATTTTTCACTTTGCGAAGTCCGTCAATTAACTATCTATATCGAGGATGATATAGCTGTGATTTGACTTGATGACCTAGCATGATCATCACATGGAATCATGAAATAAAATATAAATGTTCGAAATTCACAAATTTGACCTGGATTCGTACTCTGTTCTCAGAGAACTTTCTATGTATATAGGCGACGAGGGTGATAGACAATATGAAATTGTATAGAGCAAAGTGACAAACTTGTGATATTGTCGAGAGTTAATGAACTCGTATGATCACGCCGTCGCAAAACAGAATTATAAGTCTCAAAATTCATAAATTTGACAAAATTTTCTTACTGTGCTCTCTGACAGCTTTTCATTAATATGAAAATGATGAGAAATAGACAGAGGCAAACATCTGTCAATGTATACTATCAAAATCTCGACATGATTGTGCACAGTCAGAAAAAGGGAATCATAGAATAGCGGAAATGTTAAAAATTCAATAGTTTGACAGAAGTTTCATATTGTTCTCTCTGAAAGCTTTTCATAGATATATGGGGTACGCAAAACCGTTGATGCAACTGATCACTGTGCAATCCTGTAGATTGAAATCCCTGTCAAAAGGTCGTTTTTGTTTTCATGAGCAGAATGTCTCTGGTGTGTGATGTCCATTATATCCACGTCATTCCAGCACCTTTGCTGTAAGCTACCGGTTACTGCATCACAGAAGCAAATGTTCTTCTCTGAAACCAGATCTGCGACAGGACTGCGCTTTGTCAAAAACCAAATCGCCAGCACCATAACGTCAGAGACCGTTTCGAACCAGCCTCATTTAACGCTTATATTTTTGATCACCGTCTACTAGCCAAAAGAGAGTAAGCCCTGAACGGATTGCTTCTTATTACAATTCATCTGTTCTGTACTTTCATAACTGTGTAACGATTGAAAACAAGGATATGATTTACAAATTCTAGCGTCGTTATTAAGCCGCATTTCCTGGGTTTAGATTGTGCACAATTTTATTAGTTCCGCTTGTTGACGTCATTCACCAAGTCCCATCGACGTTTTTCATCCTTCTATCCCTTGAGTTATCATGGCTATTAAGAGGATAGGGAGCATGGTAGGAATTATACTAACGATGGTCCCACTCCATTCCTATTGTCCCTCACTCCGTACCCACTGACGTCTTCAAATTCACATTATTAGCGCAACGTGAAATAAACGGCTATTGTGGAATATTCAAATGCTGACGTTTCGGTTGTTTCTCATAAATCTTCTTTTGGACATTTGCTGGAAGTCGTTCTTCTGGTGACCCTCTTGTAACTGCGTCTCAATTCATAATGACGCCAAAATACCTTCGCGAGATTGGTGCTTCGAAGCAACAGCCGTATGACCGTCACGACAGGAAGAGTTTTATGTAGACAACAGAATTTGCGGTTCTCTTAAGCTTACAAAAATTATTTGCTGCCAAAATGCTTTGAATTCGATGATCCGCAAGTTATGGTGAGCTGCACCTCCGACTTGGTCCCATGTCAGAGGTTATGTAGACTTTCCATTTTAATTAAAAGGTTGACTGCCCGGATGATTGCACTTTACACTTTCATTGGTTATTTAGAAAGAAGAAGCGGCAAAAGAAGCATCAAAGTTGAAGGAGGAAATCGATGACCTTAAGAAGCAAGTCGAAGCGAAGGAGAAACTGGTGTCTTATCTGAACCTTCAAATGGGTGAGCTTCGCAACAGGATGGGAGCATATGCACTACCAGTACAACCTTCATCCACGCAGATTTACGGAAGTAATTCTCTGCAAAAGGTAGGGCATAGCTTATGCCCCTTACTGTTCTTAACTTAGCTGATTTTCAGGCAAGTAGCCATCGGCCTATCTTGGGCTTAGAGACTCAAGGTAGCGAAATAAACCGTCGAGTCAGCTCAAGGTAAACCATAATAAAATTTTGTTATATAACGTTAAGTGGTGGCATAATTTTTTAACGTCATTACGATTGGTCAGTTCCACAACATTTACCGGTAAATCTGTAGCAGTTTGATTTTTCTTTTGTTTCCCCAGCATCTCCCATTTTATTTTCATTGGAGGGATAAGTAGTACCGAAGGACGATGTTATGGAATAAAGCATGTCAGTTTAAAATTGGTACGCGATGTTTGGAATCAAATTTTCAGACGGCAAACAAGGTATTCTGGCGGACCATCCGCCGGCTCCGAAGTGAAAAAAATGGTAGTGCAAAAGTTTTGAAGGACAGATCTGGATACCATCTTACCGAGGATAAGGACAAGCTTCAACAATGGAGAGAGTAATTTGAGGAATTCCTTAACCCTGAGCTACCGCAGGAAGACTAGCCTGTAGAGCTGCAAGGAACGGATATTACTATATCTGTAGAATGAAATTACACAAGCTGTGAAAAGCTTGAAAAGTGTAAAGGCTGTTGAAATTGATGAAATCCGCCCTGAAATGCTCAAGACATTAGGCGAACAAGGTATGTGCTGGCTAACACGTGTCTCTCAAACTGCAATGGCTACGGATAAGACACCAGCGGACTGGAGAACGGGAATTATTGTACCCGTATTCAAGAAGGGAGACCACAAGGAATGCTCCAATTTTAGGGGCATTACGTTATTGAGCCTCTCAGGTAAAGTTTATGCAAAAGTGCTAGAAACGTGTCGCGTAGTAACTGATTGCAAGATACAAGAAGAGCGTGTAACTTCCGGCTCAGTCGAAGCACCTCTGACAGTATATTTGACCTGCGCCAGACCGTAGAAACATCGTGGGAATTCGCCCATCCGATTTATGTGCTTTGTAGACCTAGAGAAAGCCTATAAAGCCTATGACCGGATCCCGCGTAACAATCTGTGGACATGTTCGCGAGCATATGGGATCGATGGCCAGTTGCTACGTGCCATCTAATCATTATATTCTGAGAGCAGGTGCTGCGTCAGAGTAAATGCGTCAACGCTGCTACTGTTCTCCACTCGTTCTGTCCTTTGTCCTGTTTGTGTTGTACATAAATAAGAAAGTGTCAGCGTTGGAAACGTCGATATTAGAGGGTTGCTGTTTGCGGACGACCTTGTTTTGTTGGCAGCTTCTGAAACTGATCTACAGTGCTCTCTGGAAAGGTTCGCAGTTGAGTATAACTTGGCCGGCATGGGTGTAAACGCATCTAAAACGCAAGGCCTAGTGCTTTTTCGTTTTCCTGCCCTTTGCTCTCTTCAAATTAATGGAGGCAGTGGATCAGGTAGAGAAGTTCAAGTACCTCAGAGTGGTGTTCACTAGTGATTTAAAATTTGAGGAAGAGATCGACCGTCGAATTGGAGTAGCCAACGGCTTTCTGATTGAACTAGCCCTAATCATAGTGATTAAAGCAGCGCTATCGATATTCCAGTCGATCTTTATCCCCATGCTTACCTATGGTCATGAGTCGTGAACCATGTCTGAAAAAATTGATACCGAATACAAGGGGCTGGGATGAACTTTCTGAGACGAGTCGCTGTTCTTACTCGTCTAGAAATGATGCGGAATACGGACATCCACGCGAACCTTGGTGTACAGCTGCTGCATCTTCAGATTGAGAAGTCAGAGCTAGAATGGTTTGGGCATGTGTTGAAAATTCCTTCAGAAAGGAAGGCGAAAGAACTATTTTTTGCCCAGCTTAGCGACAGAAGGCCCAGGGGACGGCCAAGATAAATCTGGTGCAAATATATGTTCTGCGGAAGCTCAGATTCTGGCACGAGATTGGGAACGTTGGAAGCACTGTTTGACACGTCTGCCTTCTCGCAGAATGAATGATGGCATGGTGTTTCCGTATGACTTTTTTAACTGCGCATTGACAGACACTGTTAATTATCTATCTGTCTATCGTAAGATTATCATTTATACTGATATACGTAAGATTACTAGTTTACTGCTAATTTTGGTCTATTTATGTTTATACGTATGGACCCTCCTACGTTCTTCCGTCTCTTATGTACATTTCTTCTGCTTGCCGTCTGTGCTTTAATGACCTTCATTTTGGCCTATGTGCTTTGTAAAGGTGTCATCGGTTGTTTACATAAAATGCTTATTTACTGTTATCCTGAAAGCACACTGAGGATCGCGGAACTATTTCGTTCTTCATTAAATTCTAGCCTGTTTTATTTATGTCAATGTAATGTTTTGTTCATATTTGATGCTTTGCTTTCTTGTGCTTTCGAAAAACTGAATTGCTTACTTCGTAAGTAATTTTTCTTCCCAAGCGTTACATTTTTTCTTCACTTTATATTATTTTAGTTCCAACGTTAAGCTGGACCCAAAGTACCTAGAGCCAAACGTGCCATGCGTGGCAGCAGTCGAAACGAAAACACATACTTAATATATAACATGAGAACGACGTTCTGGACAAGATATGGCATTTCTCCCGTCAGCGTTTTCGCCATAAGCCTGGCTACAGATTCTGTGGATTTTAATAAAGTATCTGACTCCGACGAACGCATTCGCCTTTTGATTCGTGCAATAAATTTAGCTGTTGTTTTTATGGGTACTAAACTGTTGGCTTATACCACGGGAAAATGTTTTATATGACTGTATTAAATCTGTGTTTGCGTATGTGCTCCGGTTTGTTTTCAGCTCTTTTTACTTTCCGTAATGGGAATTTCAGTTTGTTTGTCTAGCCATTTCAGCAAAATATTATACATTTATCATCAAATTAAAATATTGTTTGTAAATCTTTGTAAAGAAAATGTTTACGTGATCATATCAGATATGATACAATCCATACCGATACAGTCCGATCGACCATAATACTCAAATGAATCAGATGATGATCATATGGGTTGGAGTAAGTGTCCTAGTTCAATGTTGTTTGCATAAGTAAAGTCGAAAAATTGTCAAAGAACAAATGTCAAAAGTCGTTGCATTGATCATCATCAGAGTTAACAATGAACATGGACGTAGACGTAGTAGCATGACACTGTATCAGAGCGCTTAATCTAAAGTGATTTAGAAAAGAAGTGCATCCAATCCATAAAGGTAAGAAATCGAAGTATGTACATGACTAAATTGAAGCGCCTAATCTTCGTTATATGAGTATCCTTTATGCTTAAATCTAGGCCCATAATGGTTCAGAAACCAGAGTATCTGGTTATATTATAGTCAGCTTGATACCCGTGTGTGAGACAAATTAAGTAGATCACGGTGTCTGTATGACTTGACCATCTGCATTGCTGGATGTACTCTGAGCCTTTTTAATGACTATGAATAGTTTTTTTATCACCGATAATGCTTTAATATCCGGTATTTTTACAGGCATTAGCAGAACAAAAAAATATGTTTCTACGCAGGAGTATGCTCATAAAATTTTTGTCTAGTGGGCTGCTACCCGTTTATCGGCTTCTTGCAAGAAAGCACTACAGTGAAGTACTCGCTGAAGGCAATCAACGGTTTTCATTAAAAAAAACTTATACCGTACGCAGGACCCGAACACACTATCTATCGTTCGAGATAGCACTACAACTCACTACGTCACTGCCTAATCCACTGTTCAGTTGCCGAATCATGAGCTACTCCGTTCACAGAAATTCCCTGCATATTTCTCAGGTAAATGGAACGTCTGAACGCTGCTCTGTCGTAGCAGCGTGTAGAATCCAACGTTTCTCTCTGTGAAGTTGGAACCGGTATATGCCATCAGTGACAGCTTCAACTAATCTGACATCAAAGTCAACTTCGGTTTACGTGAATCTCTTAATCAGCATAGCATTGCTTCTCAGGCTGTCCGGTTTGCAGAAGTGGTGTTGCTCACTGCCGTACGCCAGAAATGTAAAAAATGATGTCCCAGCATCAGGCTGAACCTTAGATTCCAAGAACAGGTTTGTTGTTTGCTGATCTGACGGTGATCGTCATGCCGTTGTCTTTCGAACAGCTTGGCGCTGTTCTTGGGTCTGCCACGTCACAGTGAGACCTGTGTTGCCTCGCATGTATCAACGAACACTGTTATTTACCTTGGAAAATGGCACGACACATTTTGGCAAAAAGTGACCGAGGAAATCAACAATTCGAGGTTTATGGACATCGCCAACGTACCACACGACTGTCGATCAAGTTTGGCAGAGACAGCTAAGTTTCGCTGACTATTTGTCTTCGTGGTCGTCGTTGCTTTATAGTCAGAAACGCTTATCGAACATCATGTTGCTTATCGGTCGCATTTCTTGAGGTTACGGATGAAGTACTGCTACAAGATGTTGCTGGTGCTCAGAGTTTTGGCGCCGTCCCCCTCTAGTTCAATTATTATTTTTCAGGTGCATACGACCTCTTGCAAGACAGTGCAGTTTCGACTTGTAGTGAATCTACTGAACTTCCGCAAGGTAAGGAATTTTGCCAGTAGATGAAACGCAAGGTAAAACTTGAACAACGTTTGACATATGTTAATTGACCCTTTCGGGGACTTCGTTCAACAGACCGCGGGCGTGTTGTTTGACGAAAGGTTGAAAAAACGAAGCTAGCTTAGATGGAACGTCAGTCGACGTGTCCATTCGCGTTACAGAGGGTTCACGCTGCAGGGTCAGTCAATAAATCAGCAAATGTAATGGCTTCTTTCAATACGATGAACAAAGTAATTTTTAGAACTGGGAGTGAATCACTAAGGAACGAACTGTTTCAGGAATATTGAACAGTTTTGAAACACCGTATATGCATTGGATTATTCTCACTGCGCGCTATTCATTTTCATGGAGGCTT